CATTTTTCCTCGCCCCCCCCCCCCCCCCGGCTGCCAGAACTGGCAGTAGTGATTTTCAGACATTTAAGACTTCCTGCTGAACATGATTATACTGCTCCTGTGGTTGGGAATCTGACTTTATCAGATAAATTGCTGAATAAGGTTATAATCATGCTTATGTGTAAGTTTGTGTATGTGTGTAGTCAGGGTTGATCAAGCGGATGAAGCTGTGTGGCGTTCCATGCTCTTTGGGCAACTGTTGCTTGCACAGAGAGTGAAATGGAGTAGCTGCCGGATGGAACTTGAGAGGAGGATGTGCTTTAACATTTGCATATGCTACTTTGGGCTTTGGAAAGGCATCTCAAAAATGTTTAAAATGTCCTCTTACCATCATGTTACTGCTTGTCCCATGGAATGCAGATCTTGATTTACAGAGAATGAGCATAGCAAAGAGAGAGATTCTCTTGATGAAGCCAGTTTGGGCACTTCAGGATCACGACCATGCAGACTGTTTATCTGACATGGTGGGAGTAGCCTCCTAGATCATTGTGATGTCAGTTCTTGAGCACAAGGAAAATGAGCAGAAAAAAAATCCCCTCAAGGGAAATGTTTTTTGAGGCATCATAATCAGTGATATAAAGCATACAGTTTTAGATAGGAGCTTCATGTGGTTGCAAAGGGTAAGTAAACTAGAGTGTGAACAATGCCTGATGAAATCTAAAAAATTAGTGGCCATTCTGGCTTATAAAAGCTGCGAGAAAGAGACTGGTCAAGTGGGTAGGAAGAGTGGCGAATGCCTCCTTGCAACAGGGTAGGATCCCAGGATGTTTAAAAGAGGCAGTAGTAAGATAATTGTTGAAAAAGCCCTCCTCGGATCCCACAATGCTCAATAATTACCTATCACTCTCTAATATTCCATTCTTGGGCAAAGTGCTGGAGCCGGGTTCTGCCTGCTCAGCTCCAGGGGTTCCTAGATGGGACGGATTATCTAGATTCATTTCAATTGGGCTTTAGGCCAGGTTATGGGATGGCGACTGCTTTGGTCGCCTTGGTGAATGACCTGTGCTAGGAACTGGACAGGAGGGGTGTCCTTGTTGGTTCTCCTGGATCTCTCAGCAGCTAGTGTGCCAGCTGCATCCATTCCCAGAGAGGTATGATCTGTCCACAGTGACAGATGCCTTAGTTACACCCATCTGGATTCCTGTGCTGTACATGGTATTGCCTCTTGAAAGTACCAGGAACCTTCAACAGGACTAAAGTGCAGCAGACACATTGCTGACTGGCTGGTTACAGGGATCACATAACAACCTCCCCCGCCCCCCGGTTAAAGCAGCTTCACTAGCTGATGATCCATTTCTGGGCCCAATTCACAGTGCTGGTTCCAACCTATGAAGCTTGAGTCCAAACTATCTCAAAGACTGTGTCTTTCTTTATGAGCCTGCCCAGGTGTTAAAATAATCAGGAAGGGGTTTTCTTTCAGTCCCACCACCTTCACAGGTGTGTTTGGTTGAGGACCCAGGAGATGGCCTTCTCTGTTGCTGCTCCCAAGCTTTGGAACTCCGTCCCTTACCCAGGAGGCCAGGTTGGCCCCATCTTTACTGTCCCTCTGCAAGCAGGCAAAGATTTTGCTCTTCAGGCAAACTTTCCCTTAATGATTGGCTGCCTGAGAGGGTTTTTTTTAATGGATTGTGCCTTATTGCTTTGAATGTGTTTTTGTTGTTTCTTTTGTTTCTCATCTTTTAGTGTGATATTTGTTTGATCCTTTTTAATATTTGTATATTTATTGTTTTTTTGGTGTAAATATTATTTTAATGATGTAAGCTGTCTAGGACAGTGGTTCTTAACCTTTGTTACTCGGATGCTTTTGAACTGCAACTCCCAGAAACCCCAGTCAGCACAGCTGGTGGTGAAGGCTTCTGGGAGTTGCAGTCCAAAACTCCTGAGTAACTCAAGGTTAAGAACCAGTGGCCTAGGATACTTATTAAGGAGAATGATGGGTTTAAAATATTTTGAATAAATAAATAAAACAAATGGTGAGTTGATAGGCTTAAGGTTATTAATGGTTTGAGCAAGGATTGGCAATCTGGTACCCTCTCTGTGTGTTTTGGACTACATTTCCCATCTGCCCTGGGCAACAGTAAACTAGTCCAAATCATTTGGAGGGTGGTGGTTTACCTACCTTTTGGGGTAGAAGATCTGCCTTTGATATCTTGCATACTGTAACTCTTGCGTGCGGCTTGTGTCTAATAATTGATAATTCTAATGCTTTAATGTTTATCACTTATGTAACTGTTTTAGCATTTCATGGATGTGCTGGTTTTTACTTGTACCTGTAATTATTGAGTTCTATCTGTATTTCATAATTCAGCTATGAGGCACTTTTGAGTCCCGCTTGGGGAAGAAAGGGGTTTGAATATCGAATAAATAATGGAACTGTGAGAAACTTACAAGGCATGAGGGGGGAATACATGCACTTCTAAAGTCTTACAACAGTTGCAAAATTTGTGTTGCCAGGGCACTGACATTCGTATGTTCTTTTGTCTTCCTTGGCCCTGGGTCTAACGGAAAACTACCAGTTGTGTCAATCACGTGCTTTCTTGAAACACTTCTCTGTGAGCATAGCTCAGGTAATTCTATGGTTTTTTAATAATAAAAAAATCCTTGGTTTTATTTCTTCTCCAGACGACGGCAATCGAGGGTCAGGATGAGGACTTGGGCCAGGAAGAGGTGGTGCAGCAATGCATGCGGAACCAGCCATGGCTAGAGAAACTGTTTGACTCCTTCAGTGAGTTGCTGACTCAGGCGCAAAGCAAATGCGCGTGATGCAGCTGCTGCCAGAGCCACGCCCCAGGAGGGGCCATCTAACGCCCGCCCCTCTGCAGAGCCAGAGCAGGAAGTGGGGAGAGGAAGGTCGAGAGGGGGTACCATTACAGGCAACCGAGTTCAGACTCTGCTCACCACCACCACCACCACCCCTTCCCTTTTCGGGTTTTCTTTGAAACAAAACAAAACAAAACCAGGACCTGGGAGAGGCCTCTTATTTTGGTGGTGGGATGTGTGGAATGTTTGTGATGGCACAGAGAGAGAGAAAGAGAGAGAAAGAGAAACAAGTTGAGGAGGGTTCTCATCAAATGTCGGATGGTTGGACAACCCCCTTTCCCTTTTGCCCTGGCTGTACAGAGAAATATTATTTATATATAAATGTATAAATGTCTAATTGAGCAACCTTGCCCCCTGCTCTGGTAGGGGGGTGAGAGTAGGAGAACCCATAGGAAGGTCAGAGGAGTGGTGATGTGTGATTTAAAACTGGGAGGCTGGGATCCAGGACTCCTGTGTATCTCTGGGATGAGTGGGGTGCGGGTGGGTGAATTTGCAGCAACAAGAGTGGTCTAAACAGAAGGATCCAGCTTTTCTGGGTTCTATCCTGGATCTCTTCCATTACGAACCTTTACTTCTCCTTAGGGAGAGTTGTGAATTGTGGGCGGGGGTTGGTGCATGGACCACCCTTCTTACAGTGTCCCCGGCTCCTCTTAACCACAATCTGATCAGGCAGTATGACCTCCCCCCCCCCGTCTTCCCCTGCGCC